TGCTTTAACTCTTGTGTGGGGTGAAATTTCTGGCTGGTTACAGAGGCAGGTGAGCTGGGAGATGGGGTGGGCAGCACCTGAGAGAGCAGTGAGGGACACCAGAAAAAGGATTTTAATAAAAAAACCCAGAGGTCTAAGCCTGCATTTCAGTGAGGAAGGAGGAGAGTTGGCTCTGAAAGGTTTGGAGGAACAGAATGGAACAACTCCTGCCTGGGGGAGCAGCTCTGCTCACACAGGGACCCATCCCATGGGCACGGAATGAATGAATGAATGCATCCCAAACATCAGGGGGGAGGGAGATCTGTTCCAGAAATCCCATCCCCGAGCGGGCTGGGGGAGCAGAGGGTGTTTAGGAGCTCTCGGGTGCAGACAGTGTTAATCACTGGGGCTTAGCTGGGGAGGAGCAGTGGGGCTGTTAAGCAGGAGGAAATGGTTTTTCTGTCTAGATGGGCTTAGCACAATGTAAACCGCACAAGGTGTGAAGGAGCTGAGCTCCCCAGCACAGCAGCGTGGGTTCAGAGATTCCTCACAGGGTTGGTGGAGCTAAAGCCAACACCCAGTGTCCGTGTGCCTTTTCCTTTGGCCACCACGCATCTGCAGTGACAGCTGACATCTCATGGATGCCCTTCCCAAGCTCTTTCTTACACAGGATGTTTGGCTAGAAAAAAATTATTATTTTTTTTCTACTGGGGAAAACCTGTCCAGATTCTGAGGAAAATTGGTAAAGCAGTGTTTTAGTTATAATTCATTACTCAGTGTCTCATTTTGGAATCACATTTTTGGCCAGGGTACATCTGGCCAACGATGCTGTGATAGTGCCCCAAGCCTTCCTTTTGGTTCTCATTTAGGTTAGAAAAGTAATTAAAGGAGGGTAAAAAAAGAAGTGACAGAGTTACTGACTCTCTTTCCAAAAGAGAAGGGTTTAGGCCAAACTCCTGCTAGGAAAATAAACAGAATTTCATTTTTTTTGTTGCAAGTTCTTCCCATATATTGAATTTCCGTGCTCAGTGACAAGGGGGATCTGCTCGAGTGAGCAGTGATTGGATTCTGATGGCTTTGAGTTGTGCTTGGATTTGCTTTGGAAAGCTGAGGCTGTCCTTGGAGAGCAGGGTTTGGACCTGAGCTTGAGACCTTGTTCTCTAAGGAGCACAAACCTTGCAGCCTGACTTATCAAGCTGTAACTTTTATGGCTGTGCCTGGAAATTATTTTCCTGCCCAGCAGTGCTGTGGTAGAGCCCTTTCCCCCCAAATAAAATCAACATTTGCTAGTCTGAGCCTAGAAACCATTTTTAATTGAGGCACGTTGCGAATTGTCCCTCCCACCTTCTCTCCTGCAAGAAGAGGAAACCCACAATGGGATAATTTCTGCAGAAATCAGTAAATTTGGGCTAGTGGGGAGTGTTTGAGCTGCTCCCAAGCGTGCCCACCACCAGGACCCTCTGATGTGGGGCTGTGCTGGGCAGGGGTGAGCCCTGGCACTGGGCTGGGAGATGTTTTGGTGGTCACCACGAGCACCAGGGCTCCCGTGGGCAGCTGGGGGTGGCAGCAGATGGAACCAGGGAAGTGCTTTGGGAGCCAGGGGGGTTGAGGATGCTCTGTGATAAATTGATAAATGTGTCATGGCTCAGCTCCGGAAGCAGGGCAGGGAAGGATGTGAGTGCCAGAGGATTCATATCCTGGAAATGCTGCGGTGTCACAGCTCGGGAATTCAGCAGGATAAATGCATTTGCCTGCCCTGCTGCAGACAATCTGCTTAATGTGGGAAGCAGAGTTTCCTGTAGCAGCGAGCCGGTGGGGAAGGGAAAAACCCTGAGAGCCAGGAAGGGCCAGGGAGAATTAAGCAGGTAAACCCATTAGCAGTGAGCACCTCTTTGTGTGGGGATTACACAAAGCTGCTGCTGCTGGATGCTCCGTGTCTGGGGAGGAGCTGGGGCTGCCTCTCCCCTCTCCGGAGGGGCTCGACCCCAGGGCTGGGATTAGCGCTTGCCACAAGCCGCCCTCACTCGCCAGAACAAATCTCTGCACGTGCTGAGAGAGAGCCCAGCCTGCAGGAGCCGTGAGGTTTGGCTGGCTTTGTTCTGGCCAACCCCTCCATCCTTCCCAACGGGACTTTCCTCATGGAAATTGCTCCTCTTTAATGAACACATTTACCCTGTTCTGCTGCTCTGGACAGAGCTTTAGCCCAGCTCCCTCCTCAGCTTGGGAATTCTTCAGATACTGGCTCTAAAATCGGAGTCAGGGCACAAAGGGGGACGGATGTGCTGTCCCAAGAGCCTTTCCCAGTCAGGACATCCCGACATGGTTTGGCATCAGCTCGGGCAGGTGGGGAGGGAACTCTGAGCTTTGTGGAGGGTTTGTGAAGAGGAGGACAGCCCAGTGCCAGGGAGAGCTGCAGGGATGAGCAGGGATGAGCCAGGGGCCAGGCTGGAGCTGTGGGGCTCCCTGGATCCCTACTGGAGCCTCCGAGGGGACGATGCTGCTCTGTGTCCCCCAGCTCCCATCCCGAACCTTCCCAACGTGCCAACCACAGGAAAGCAGCAGAAACCCCAGCTTTCCTTTTGCTTGGATTCCCATCAGTTCCCAGACTTTAATAACAGACTGTTCCGGGCTCTCTCGCTCCGATTGGTTTGGCTTTTTGGGGACCAGCGCTGGCTCACGGGCAAAGCAGCCACAGGGTGAGAGGAAGAGGAAGGAGCTGTGGGATGAGGGATTTTACCGGCAGCTCTCGGGGGCTCCCCAGGGTGGGCACACAGCGGGGACCCTCCTCATGCCGGGCCGCTGCAGCTCCTCTGGCTCCATTTGTGCTCCAGATGTGGAGCCAGATGTTGGCGCTGCCGTGTCCGCCCGCTGGCAGCGCCGGGGGATGCCCGGTCCCGGTCCCGGTCCCTGCCCGAGCTCCGGCGCCGCCGCACCGCCACCTCCCGGGCATCCCGGAGCTTCATCCTGCGGGGCTGAGATGATTGCTGTTCTTTTTGCTTATTGCTGTTCTTTTTGCTTATTTCTGTTCTTTATTGTGCGGTGCCTCCCGGGCATCCCGGGGGGGATGCGCAGCTCGGCCTGCGGGGCTGAGTTTATTTATTTATATTTTTTATTGTGCGGTTTCTCCCGGAGGTTCAGCCTGCGGGGCTGAATTTATTTCTTTATTTTCTTTATTGTGCGGTGCCTCCCACCCTGCAGCCCGACCCTACCCAGCAACCCTCTCCCAGCACTTCCTGGGGAAGATATTCACCTGTAATGATTTTTATTAAATCTTATCATTCTCCTTTTCTGCCTCTCACCCTAAGGACAAGCACCCCCAGGTGAGCATGGTTTCTCCAGGCAATGCTGACTTGTCCATCTGTCTGAAGCAATCACTGCAGCTGCCCCGGGGATTATTTTTCAGAGCAGGTGTTGACATTTTTCCCCAGTTGGGTGTCAAGCTGTACCTGTGGGGGTGGTTTTGGAGAGAGATTGCTCTGAGTTAATGAGGTGTTGTAAAGACAGCACAGCTAAACCCAGCATTACATGGTCCAGCTTTCCAGTTTAATTAGGAACCTGGATCTCCTGCTCATGCATTAATTCACTTTTTGACTTGAGTGACAGCCTAGGCTCTCTCAGGGAAGGCGAGCACTGTGTTTAAGAGGAGTGTGGGTGTTGTTGGCTGTCCATATCCCCCTGTCGTGCCCAGCTTTGTGTTTGCCATGGGAATGTCGTGGCAGTGGTTGTGTCCCTTGGCCCAGAGGAGCAGCTGGGACCTGCAGGATCAGCAGAATCCACCTTTCCCCTATTTCCTCGTGGATCCCATAGATGGGAAGCAGCTCTAAAGGACCAGGACCTGGCACATGCCTTTACCAGCTGTGGCTCCAGCATTCCCTGTTTTCCTGGCAGCACTGGGGTTACAGAGATGCTGTCAGTGCTGGGGAGAAGGTTTGGGAGCCAGCAAGTGCAGAAGTTCAGGAGTGCAGTAATTAGCAGAGCAATTAGTGGCTAATTGCTGCTGCAGAAATTTGCAAGGCAGAGTGCCTTTTATTCCTTCCTCCATGTGCTGATCCTGGGTTTTCTGGGAGCAGGGAGCACTTGTGTCTTGTCCCTGTGCTTGATGGAAGGATAGGACAAGGGGGAAACGCTTTAAGATGAAGGATGGCAGATTTAGATTTGGTATTAGAGAGAAATTCTTCCCCGTGGGGGTGGTGAGGCCCTGGCCCAGGTTTTCCAGAGGAGCTGTGGATGCTCTGGGTGGGTGGAGCAGGGCAGTGTGGTGCCCTGGTGATGTTCTCAGCTGGCAGGAGTGGCTCTTGAGCTGCCTGGGAGGTGTGCATTGTGCCAGCAGTGGAGAAACTCAGCTTCTAATGGGGTTTGGGAGCCACCAAGGGGCCTCAGTGCCCCCTTTTTAGAGCCCCAGTGAGCCAGACATGGAGGCAGTGAGAGGAATCCCTCTGGGAATGATGCTCTGCCCCCCTTGCTGTTGTACATCACACCCTCACAGCAGTCACTGCCACTGGGACAGCCTCAAGGTGCCTGGAATGACTTCTGAACAGCTGGTAGAAGAGACATATTTACTCAATAAATAAATACAAATAACATATGGCAGGTACTAGCACGGAATACACACTACTGGTGTTGTGAGGGAGGCCAAGGTCTGAGGCTGGAGCTGTGCCCAGCTGGCACTCACCAGGCTGGGTAAGGGCACTGATGGTGCAATCTGGAGCTGCTGGAGGGCACATCAGGAGCTACACACCTGCATGGATAAATACATGAACACATTACCCAGGGAGGGTTTGCCTTCCAATGCCTGGGGACACAAAGTGTGTGATTCTCTGGGAACCGGCGTGGCACACATGGGCACACAGCTGAGGGTCCTGGCACACATGGGCACACAGATGAAGGTCCTGGCACACAGCTGAGGGTCCTGGCATACATGGGCACACAGCTGAAGGTCATGGCACACAGCTGAGGGTCCTGGCACACACTGGCACACAGCTGAGGGTCCTGGCACACAGCTGAAGGTCATGGCACACAGCTGAGGGTTCTGGCACACATGGGCACACAGCTGAGGGTCATGGCACACACAGATGAAGGTCATGGCACACACTGGCACACACAGATGAAGGTCATGGTACACAGCTGAGGGCAGGGGGACAGGGGGCCCCGTGGACCTTGGGGGGTGTCAGGGCTCACCCCCCATCTCTGCAAAGCTTCATGCAGAGCACAGGGGCTCTGCTTTGGCTGGATTTGGCAAAGCCTTGACCTAAAGCTCGGAGCTCTGCTGAGCTCTAGGGAGGCAGCAGCAGCAGCAGCAGCAGTTGGGATTTGGGATCTTCTCTGAGCTCTGGGGCTGGCTCAGTCAGCTGAGACAGGCAGGGGCAGGAACAGGATTGCCTTCTGGCCATAGTGAGTCCGTGGGCCCAGCTTGCTGTTCCCGTTCTTCTTCAGCCCCACAAACCAGTTTTTGTCTGCGTGCATCTTGGACACGTAGGTGTTGTAATGGTTTTCCTCCAGCCTTTCCAGGAACAGGCATTCCTCACCCAGCAACTGCTGAAAGAGAGCCCAGGGCAAGGCCAGTGAGCTGTGGGGATGGGGATGGTCCTGACCTGACAATCCCAGCCCAGCTCTCCCCTCTAAGGTGCCATCCAGACCCTCCTCTGAGATTTCCACACCCCACTAAAGCTCATATTTAAATGATGAGGTATTAAAGTATTGGTTTGCTCCCCTGGGCCACTCCTGTATCGAGGTGTGTGTGACCTGGGGGTTTTAATTGGCAAATTTCAAGTGACCAATCAGCCCCGTGCTCTCCTCCATAAGCTGCTCCTGGCCCTGAGCTGTGTGGTGGCAGCTGCAGGCTCAGAGCCCAGAACCAGAATGGGTTTGGTTGGAAGGGACATTAGAGACCCCCCCCAGCCCCTTGCCATGGGCAGGGACACCCACACCAGGTGGCAGCTGCTGAGGGGCTGCAGAGCAGGTATAAAACACAATATTTATCAAGTGTCAGATAGGAAATAGAATATTTGTCAGAGGCAGGGCAGTAAGCAGCATTATTTGGTAATTTATTTACATCCCCCCAAAATAAAGCCAGATGCAGAGTGGCTGTGCAGCTGCCAGAATCACAATCAGAGCTTAATTACTGCTGTGGTTTGCCTCAGGGAGCTGTGGGATTCCTGCAGCTGATCCCAGGGGATGCTCCCACTCACCGAGCCATAGAGGAGCCCGTTGGTGTCCATGGCCAGGTACTGCCCTGACTGCGTGCTCTTGATGTGCACCACCCCCACGCTTTCTGCACTCAGCTGCAGCTGGACTGGGAGCAAAAATAAAACAGCAGCAGTGAAAGGAAAATAGGAAAAAGGGGGGGAAAAAAAGCTGCCAGGGGGGTTAGGGGGGTATTTTGTTGAAGTCTGGCTTTAAAAGAGTTTATAGGAAGCAGTACAGTGTGTAATAAAAGTGTCTCCTTGTACCCTCTTCTTCAAAGAAATCCCACAGCCATCCTTTAGGAGCCAAAGACCAATTTTTCCCTCATTTTACATCAAAGGAAGGGCAGCCTTTTGGTTACGATGCTGGAATGGGACACAGGAGATTGGGGTTTTAATTCTGGCTCTAATTTACAAATTTCTCATGTGGTTTGACAAGACACTTAAGGAGTGACATATGAAGAAGTATTTTGAGAGCAGGCTGCAGATGCCTGCACTGCAAAGCCCTGATCCAAAGCATCCCATCCAGCAGTTTGCTGCAGCTGCATTTATCCAGTGAATTGGAGATGGAGAATGGGGAAATAGAAAAGGCTGTGGCTGCACTCACAGTGACTTGCAAATTCCAGCTCTTCCCAGTGATTGTTCCCATCTCATAGGCAGCTTTTTTCCCCCCCAAGATTAATAACAGCAATATTTAGGTTGGTTGGAATGAAGTATGAACGGATGTCTTGGCTCCAGCTCCTTCCTTCCTGTTTATATTTAATTTATTTATCCTTATTTAGATGAGGTAAAAGGCAATGTTACCTCTTGGCCTGGTGGAACACCAGTGAAATCTTTGCTGTAATGGTTCACATTCCTCATTTTTGCCATTTCCTGCTCAGTAAATGATAGTTAATTAGGAAATTGTGTGGGAGCAGGTTTGCAGGAATGCTTGGCCCCTGTGCATGCCTGGTTTAGGCTGGGAATGTGCACTGGGAAAACCCCAGCCCACCTGCATTCCCTGGGACCCGGCCCAGGAGCAGTCCAGGCAGAAAAGAGGAAAATGGGATGGAAATGATGATTCTGTTCTAAAAACTGTCCCTGAGAGAGGGGAGTGAGGGACCCTCCTGCTGCCAGTGGGGGTGTTGAGTTTTTTGGCCACAGAGGGAGGGAGGACAGTGGGTCCAGAGGAAGGAGCTTGTGCACTCAATTCTTACAAGTTCTCTTACAGGTCTGTACACAGATTTCCTTCCATGCAGTAATGGGATGAAAGTGGGAAAAGGAGAATTTTGGTAGAGATGAGCCTAAACTTCATCCTGCAGTGTCCAGGTAACTTTGCTTTCCATTCCTTGGTGCAAGCTTGGAATGCCCACGTAAAAGATGTGGGAAATGGATCCTGACAAAAAAATGGATCCTGTGGGTCTGGACAAAAAAGGCTTAGGGGGAGTGACTCTTTCTGCTCTTCTTAGAGATCCTCCCTGATTCTGAGGCCACTTAAGAGAGGAATGAGAATTCTTGATATTTGTCTGGAACAAAATGCCCATGGGCAGTTTGCAGAGCACTGCTGCAGCTGGAATTGGCTTCCCAATGAACTGTGGCTGTTTCTGTGCCTTGTCCCTCCCTGGTGCCTGTCCCAGCTCGGTGACAACGTCCCACAGTGCCAGTCATGCTCTGGGCTGCTCCTCCTGTACTCCAGGGAATGATTCTGAGTGGCTCCATCATTTTCCATGTTCAGGGTGCTCAGAGCAGGGTACCTCTCATCGAGGCTGCTCTGCTGGCACACAGCCCTTCCAGGAGTTTCCTCTGTAAATATTAACGTGTTCCTATATCCCACTTGATGAGATCATTTACAGGAGGCTCCTCTCTGGCAGGGGTTTGCAAACACGTGGCCCCAGGCCAGCAGGAAGGGAGGTGTGAGCTGGGATGCAGGACCTGCCTGCACTCACTGCCTCTGCAGCCCTGGGGACCCCTCCAAGGTGATGGATTTGCTTTTCCAGAGGGAAAAGGACTGGGCTGTGTGACAGCATCCGTGCTGTGAGACAGCAGCTCGAGGCAGGGCACAGCAGTGGGTGCTCACGTCCCTGCTGTGCCAGGAGATGCCATCTTCATCCTGACCTCTCCAGCTCCAGCAAAACCTCTGGAAAATGCTGCAGAGACACTGCCTGAGCTCATGGCACCGCTCCTGCTGTGTCTGCCAGCCCAGCTCTGCCTCTTGCAGCTCCTTTGGGTCATCACCCAAAGCCTTTCCCAGGGGTTTGAGGGTTTATTCCTGGCTGGAGGCTGGAGCAGCACACTGTGTTTGTCCAGCCCCAGGGAGCTCATCTTCATCCATCCCCCTCGTGCTGGGGAGGCAATGTTTGTAATTAAAACTCAGCTCTAAACTGCCTGCCTTCAAAACAACAATAGCGAGAGGAAAGGTTAAGTTCGGGGGAGAAGCCACATGTGTGTTTGTGGTTTAAAGAAAATAAAAGTGCTTTTCTTAGCACTTGGTAAGGTTGGCTCCTCCCAGCCCTTCCTTCCAACGAGATAGGAGCCTGCAGGTCCCGGTCCCATTCCAGTAAAAGTTCAGGATATGCTGCACCCAGAGGGGAAGAGCCCAGCCCTGCAGGAGCTCTGCTGTGGTTTTTTTTCCAGCTCCTCTGGGCTGGAGGTTAAAAAATCCTCTGAAGAATTTTTTTGGGTAAATGCAAGAGCACAAAAAGCATAAAATTCCCAAGGATTCCTTGGTAGACGAGTGGTGGCAGCTGCGGGAGCAGTTCCTCCCAGCAGAGGTGCCAGTGTCCCACGGGCTGGAGCCACCAGGGACACACTGGGATGGGGACAGGGATGGGGACAGGGATGGGGACACCCTGGCAAGGGTGACCTGCTCAATCGCTGTGGCACACGGCTGGCAATGCAAAAACAGCACAGAATTCCCTGTGATTCTGTGTGTGGGTGTGTGGGGGGGATGCCAGGCTGCCCTGAGCCCTCCCTGCCAGGGCCAGCTCCCTGTGTCACCCTGTGTCACCCTGCCCTGCTGTGTCCCCTCTAGCTGCCTGCCAGTGTCAGATTTAATACTGATATCTGTTTACATACTATTTATATTTAAAATTTATTTATTAATTTTATTTCTTTCTTCATTTGTATTTATTACAAAATATTTATTATAATTTCTTTCTTTATTTAGAATAATTATAAAATGTTTATTATAATTTCTTTACTTTATTTATATTATTATAGATAATATATTATTTATATTTATTTATTTATTATTTATTAATTATTATTAATATATAAAATTATTATAATATACATTAATTAACGTTGAGAGAATTTATTTATATGTTTATCTTTAGAATTAATTTATTATTTTATTATTAATGATTATTATAATTTTATATTATTTTTATTTTTCTATATGATATATTTATTTATTTATTTATTTATTTATACATTTTTATATATTTATATTTATAGATGTCTATTTATAGACTTCATATCTACACTTTGACAGCACACATGTCATGACAGCACACATATCATGATAACACACCTATCGTGACAGCTCACATATCGTGACAGCTCACACATCACACGTCCCCTGCTCGGTGTGCGAGCCCCAGGTGTGTTTGGCAGGTGTGCTGTCACACAAACCTTGGTCCCTTTTTGCCCAGCTCCCCGTTCTCGGCTGTTGGGATCACAGAACGCGGCGCTCCCCAGCAGCCCCCGGGTTTTTTTTGTTTTTTTTTTTCCTTACTGTGCTGGTCGCTGCGGTCCCTGGTGCCATCCACGGTGCCATCCGGGAGGATGCGCAGGAAATGCCCCCCGTTGCTGCAGTACAGCAGTTTGGGCTTCTTGTAGTTGCCAGCGGGCAAGTTGAATTTTTCGGTGAGGGCGGTGAAGGTGGTGATTTCCCCCTCGGCCATCCCGCAGCCTCTCCCAGGGCCGGGCTGTAAGAGAGGTGACAGCATTGAGTGCTGGCACACGCTGCTGTGCCAGGCTTTAAAGGCTGCCAGGGAGGGAGCCGGGGGTCCCGGTGGCCCGGGGCAGGTGATTCACTGTGACACCGTGACACAGCCCAAGGTGATGCTCCCCTGGCGTGGGAGGTGGCAGGGGGGGCTGTGTCCACTCCTGTCTGTCCTTTTAATTTTATCTTTTATTTTTAAAAGGGCTCTGTCCTTTTAATTTTATCACGGTGAATTCTGTTTTTGTTCTCTTTTCTATTGACGTGCGTGCTAAAATTACACGCTCAGAAAAACCAGTTTGAAAAACACCCCAGTGTCTGATTGGAACCCACAGGAGGTGGGAAGGGAGCCCAGGTAAAACTCTCTCTCCACTATTATAACTCTCAAACACAATTATGACCAAGAATTGCAACACCCACTGCACGTCAGGTAGTAAATATTGCTCATCTCTTGGCACTCTGCAGCTCACCTGGCCCAGGAACAGCCATGGAAAAGGTCAGGACACACGTGAGGTGTGGTGGGAGCTGAGCAGGGGGCAGGAGATTTCAGTGCTGGGCTGGGCAGATTGAGCCAGACACTGATCATGGGAATTTTCCATATGGAAAATGGGAATTCTGAGTCTGGGATATGCCAGGAATCAACCAGCAGCATCTCAGTGCCTAAAGGGGCTCCAAGAGAGGGGCTTTGGTCAAGGATGTGGAGTGACAGGATAAGGGGGAATGGCTTCCACTGCCACAGGGCAGGGTTCGATGGGATTTTGGGAAGAAATCCTTCCCTGGCAGGGTGGGCAGAGCTGGCACAGGGTGCCCAGAGCAGCCCCTGGATCCCTGGAAGTGCCCAAGGCCAGGCTGGACAGGACTTGTGCAACTTGGGCTAATTAAAGATCATACTGAAAGCTCATTTTCCTGCAGACTGTGGTCACAATCCGTGTTTAAGCAGATGCTGTGCCAAAACCTGAAGGCATCACCAGGCCAGTGAAAGAAAGAGGCTGTGGATGTTGGAGGCTGAGAAGGGACATCAGGAGATGCCACAGGTGTGGGTCAGAGTGCCATGGATATTCCAGGTACAGTCACGTTTTTGCCTTTAAAATCTCCCACAAATTCATTCTGTCTTTCATACACAAAGTTCTGTAGTGCTTGGAGAGAAGTGGATTTATGAACAGAAAAAGACATGGCACTGAATAAATCTAGATACAGGAAATTGCTTTGAATGTCACGTATTCCCACAGCTATATTATGGAAAATACTTTATAGTCACTGTTTATATGTGTTTATAGATTGTAAAAATGTCTCTTTAGCACTGAGTTGTGCTACTGGTACGTTGGGATGGAGCCAGTACCACGCTGTGTGGGTTTGCTTGTGGTGCTTGGAGTGCCCTGGGAGACACTCGGGGTCTGCAACACACACACACACACATGAACATGCACAGAGAATCTCTAAACATTTGGCTCTAAACCCTTTAGTATGTAAAAAAAAAAATCTGCAAAAGCAGCTGCAAGAAGAGGAAACTACTCCTGGAAATGGATCCCAGATGCCTGCAGAGAGTAAAAACCTCTGGAAGTTGGATTGCTGAAAGCTGAACCCCTGGAGATTAAAAAGATAAAGAAGATAAAGAAGAAAGATAAAGAAGATAAATAAGATAAAGACTGTGGCTGTTGGTGAGAGCATTCCCAGCCATTGCACCAACTCTGCTTCGTGCACAGACTTCAGCCCAGGCTCTCAGACACCCCAATTGACACAGACTGGGATTTTGGGAAGTGTTTTCTGGGGTGACAGCACAGGCCAGCCCCCAGCTATGGCCATGGGGCTGGAGATGCAGACTCAGAAGCTCTGTGGCTCCTGGTGCTTTCCAGAGCAGGAGATGCCAAATACAGACTCAAAATCTTTTTTTTTTTTAGCAGCACTGTCAGGTGAAATTGTTTTTTAGAGTGTGTGATCCCTCATTTATTTTTCTCTCCAGACATCATACATGCAGGAGCTCAGTTTCCTTGCCAACTGAAGGAGAGCCCCTAAGTCACCAGGGTGGCACCCAGGGCTCTGGTCCTACACTGAGCTTTAAGGATCAGCAGCTTTGGGTCATTTCCTAGAAACAAAGCTTTTCTCGAACCTTTATCTGAGGGTCAAAGGCACCCAGAGGTCTCCTGGGTTGGTGATGGATGGTACTGAGAAGGAAACATCCCAGATCCAAGAGCTCTGGTTGGATTCTACCCACAGTCACCTCAAGGTCTGGGGGCATCTCCACACAGCTTGACCAGAGCAGCTCAACTGGAAACAGCTTCTTCATCATCACTCATTTCCTCTAAGGTTGTTTTTGCTATTTTTAGGAAGACTCCAGTGTTGCCAGCTGCCCTGACTGCCCCAGCAAAGCTCAGTGAACACTTTTCCACTCCTCTTGTCTCCCCGTGCTAAATACTATCACTGTTCTCAGACTTTATGGCCATGGAGTTGTTCCTCTACAAACACCACCACTCATGGCCCTACCATTATACTTTTGGCAGGAACATGTTAGGATTTTATGGGAATTAAAAAGCACGAGTGAGAGAGAGAACCTGAACCAAAGACAACATAAAGGGCCTTCTTTCTTTGGGTAGAAGCCCAACAATGCTATTAAACAGCTCAAAGCAGAACAGAAAGCTCTCTCAAATATGCAAAGCTGAGAGACACCACACTCCAGTGGTTATTTGGTGGCCCGTGGAGAAAGGAAAATGTTCCAGGAGGAGATTGCTGTGAGAGGGGAAGGGCTGCTGCTGAGCACTGACCCTGCTCACACCAGGACAGAGATCTGGAGTCTGTCTGTCCAAGAGCAGCTGTGTTTGGGGCTCCTCTTTCCTCCAGCTCTGTGTAACAGCCTTGCTGTGCTGCCTGAGAGGAAAAACCCCCCGAGGATGAATCCCTGCTCCAGGACAGCCCCAGCTCCATCTGCAGCCAGGGCAGCTCAGGGCTCCCTGCTCTTCCTCAGATGGATGGAGATGTCAGCGCCCCAAAGGATCAGAAATCATTTCTGAAGGTAAAAAAAGCCTAAAGAAACGAGTTCAACCCGAATGTTCGCTTGCTCCAGGTCCTGCTGAGCCGTGGTGGCTGCACTGGGCTGCTCCTGCAGCTCCCAGGGAGCAGAGCCCAGCCCGGGGCCGGAATAGCTGCGAAATTCTGAGAAGTTTGGGGTCAGTTCCAAACTTTATCACTGGCCAAACCAGTGGCTTTGATGTGAAATCCCAAACTCTGCGAGCATCTGACTCTGAGCATGGAGGGCTGGCTGTGCTGCCAATATCAGGGGTGTGAGCTCTGAAATAACAGAAATAACGCTGGGAGCCATGGGAGGAGTGGGGACCTTTTCTCTGGTGCTTTTAACCTGGTGCAAACTTCACTACACAGCACTTGTTTGCATGGCAAAGGTGGTGTTGGTGGAAACGTGGGGGATTCCTAATGGTCCAGAAGTTTTTTGCATGTCAGAACAGCCAGGAACTTTTGTGCCTTTTTTTTTTTTTTTTTTNTTTTTTTTTTTTTTTTTTTATGGCTCCTGTGGCACAAATTTAGTGGCCAGCAAAGACTCAACCCAGAGGTAGCCAGCTAAGGTGAGACTTTTTCCCTTAGGTATGGAATACCTGGCTACTACATGGAGGAAAGCAGAAGTATCTCACCTACTGGGTTAAAACCAGATTGGATTGATTCAAATACATCAAAGCTGTCCTTGGCTTAGCACACAATCTTTTATGTAGGGTTGGAAAGAAATGTTCTGCATGGCCTCTGAGTGGCCACGGTGATGAAAAGTGCAGTTAATCACAATTGTCACTTAGATGATCAGCTAAAGATCACACAGAGAGCTCCAGAGAGAGGAGAAGCTGCTAAACCCGGGAGTCTCCTGAGGTTTTGTCCAACTCTGGTTAATGAGATCAGCGTCTCCTGAACCTGGCTCTGGTGAGTTCAGTGGAAACACTCCAGTTGGTTTCACTTTGGAGTGTTATTTTCTCCATTAAAGCAGAAATCCCGTTTCTTCCAGGACGTGTGACTCAGCTGGGATCAGACAGCATCACCTCTTGATGGGCTCCTTTCCCATTACACTGCTGACTGCAAACACCTGAACAGAGCACTCACTGCCCAGGCAGTTCAGACACTCCCTATGGGAATGGAAAGCACTTATGACAGGTAGAATATTTTTAAGGAATTTTTAAGGAATTCAGGATCTGAATTGCCTTTCCCGGGGGTTCCTGTGGGCTTTGGGGTGATCTGACACATACCTGGGCATGTGGAAAAAACACCTCTCAGATAAACAAGGATTTTATTCATCATAAGCTTTAGAGAACCATTTCATGGGATGGATTTCCTCATCCAGGAAAGGATTAGAGACCAGGCAGAGGTTTCCTCCCGCTCTGGTTGCTGCAGGAGCAGCTCAGTGTGTCTGGGCTTCTCAGCATGGGCAGCCTGCAAGAGCTGCCTCCCCTCCCCAGGGCTGGCAGTGCAAGGCACAGCTCGAATTCCTTGGTCTTAAAAGGACTTAATAAATGATTAGGCAAAGCAGATGATAAATATGTAATAGATCACCCTGTGAGTATCAGTGGAATGCATTGGCTCGTTTCTAGTCTTGTTTATGGCCAGGTGATTTTATCTCTAGAGATGTGATTAACTGCATAATGAAATATTTATCAGCCAAGTTTTACCCTCTGCAAGTGGAACACGTTGTGTGAAGTGCGACCAAAAGCATAAAAATCAATTTAAGTAATGCCTGCTGTCATCATCCCCTGCTCTCCACCAGAAACAGCCACTCCACTCAGCCACACTGCATTTGTGGCAGCTAAAACGGAGGGGCTGCAAAGCTGAGACGCCTTTAGCAGTTTCCTGAGTGCTGTCACTAACGGCTGGTGACCACCACAGCAGCATCGCGGGAGGGACAGGGTTAACCCATGGCACCCCGTGCCCTCAGGGATGCTCAAGGGGAAGCCCCATCCCTGCTGCTGCTCCTTCCCGCTGGGACAGCCAGGGCAGCATCCCACCAAACTGGGATGTCCGTGGGGAGACAGGAAAACCGAGAGCTCCTGCACTTTCTAATTACCTTCCCTTGCCTCTCCCACCCCCGCCCACGGCCCCTTCCATCCGGTCATTAACTTAATTGCAGCTCCGGCTCCAGTCCCCAGAGCAGGAGCTTTGCCAGCAAGGTCTTGCCCCTGTGTCCTGTCTGGGTTGGGACCAAGAGCAGGGACACGAACACGAGCAGCACTGGCTGCGCACACAAATCCCACGGATCCCCCTCCTCGTGTCCCCCCGGATGTGTGGGACCCTCTGGATGCCCCGGACAGAGAATCACCAAAGCCAAGGCTGGGCTGGAGGATGTGCTGCTCCCAGGGGACACCTGCAGCAGGGGCCAGGTAAACACCCTGGGCTTGTCATTCCCTCCAGGATGCAGCAGGTCCTGCCTGTCCTTTCCAGGTGCCTTTTCCCTCTGGGGAAAGCTCCCCTGGGAGCAGCCACTGACAGGAGCCACCAGTGCCACCAGTCTCAGCCCTGTCACCCGAGGAGGGTGGCTCTGTGCTGCCGAGGCTGCTGAGGACTCAGGGCCGATGCACCAGGCACGGGAACCTCGTTTTGGGTTTTCCACCTTGGTTCTGGGCAGGGCTGAGGGCACCTCTGCCCCCTGGACCTGCCTGTGCTTTCCTGGGGAAAGGCACCTGGAGGAGTGGGAACCACGAGAGATGCAGGTGAGAAGGGGTTGAGGAAGTGTTTTGTGATGATGGGGGAACCCCTGGGGGCAGGGGGCACCCTCTGTGCCCCTTGGCTCCTGCTCAGCACCCCCAGACCTGCAGTGGGGTCCCTGCAGGGGACATGCTGCCAGGTCCCTGCAGCAGGAGGTGACACCGGGGACACTCCAGTGTCCCCAGCCACCCCCGGTGTCCGTGCAGGACACTGGGCACAGAGTCAGACCACAGGGCCTGGCTGTGGCTGTCTGGGCAGGTGTGGCTGCCCCGCACACCCACGGACAGACGGACGGACAGACGGACGGATGACGCCTCGTGACAAACTCCAGCCCCACAGATTCCCCCTGTGCTGTTAATCCAAGCAGGGATCTGCCTCTCCTCCTGCACCATGGGAGCCTCCAATCCCAGCCCAAGCCAAGCCTCAGTTCAGGTCCGTGGCTGTCCCTCCGTGTCCTGGTGCCAGCCCTCGCTGTCCCCTTGGTGCCCAGACGGGTCCAGCACCTCCCAGGCTGCTGCTGCTGCTCGAGGGGCTGGGGTTGGGGGTGAAAAGCAGGAATTCAGGGTGTCAGGCAGCACTTCCTGCAGCTGGCCCTCTGAAGGGTGGCCAAGCCCAGGCAAAGGTTGGCTCCAGCTTCAAAACTGGGATTTGAGTTTAGGCTCAGCCTTTAGACCGTGTCCTTCCCCACAGGAGCAGAGGATGCTGGAATCGAGGGTTTCATCTCCAGGCCAAGTGAAACCCCACATCCATCCTGGTGGTTAACCAGCAGTGGACATATCATCGCTCAGAAATTCAGAAATCCAACTTCCTCCAGCACAGCCTCGGTCTGGGCTGCTCCAAGGAAAGTCTCTTGGTTTCTGGGTTCACCAGAAGCTCAGCAGTGATTTACTATGAAAATGTGCAGGGAGTTAATGGTGTTCATCCTGCAATGTTTGTGTAAGGGCAGGACAGCTGCTCTTTTTAACATCTAAGTAAGACTGGCTGGAAGAATTCTGTTCTTAATTCTGTTGCCCAATGTCTTATTTTAAATTCAATCTCTAGTACCCCTGGATGCCAGCTCCTGTTTTTTTCCTCCAAGCTCCCTGAGTAAGGAGCTTAAGCTGTTGCTTAATAACAGTGTGATAAAAGCTTGAGTTAATAATGGCTATTACCAGGAAAATCCTCCAATAAATAATAATTTTCTTATCTGCATGACTTTGGGACTGGAGAAAATGCCTTGCAGTGGAAAGCTGCAACGTGTAGGAGTGGGCAAGGAGTGTTTGAGATGCAAGATCAGAGCAAGGCAAGCTCAGGGCTGGATCTTGTTAAATGCAGATGAGCAGGTCAGAAAAAAAACCTGGAATTAGTGTGACTGGAGTCAAGGGGAGCAGCTGCACAGGACAGGTCACTGCTTGGTCTGTGCTCCTCAGGCACAAACTGTGGGATTCTCAGCTGTGGCAGGGGGTGGCTCTGGAGGCCATGGACACCGAGCTCTCTGTTTGTCACCCTCTGGGCCAGGAAGGAGCCTGAGTCACTCCCTGGGACCTGCCAGACCCCGGGGAAGGCACAGCCCTAATTCTGGTCCTGCTGTCCCAGACAGGGACACAACGAGACACCTGTGTCCCTGCAGAGCTGGGCACCTGTTTGTGACACGTGTGACCACAGGCTGTGTGACACCAGCAGTGTTGCCATCCTGCTCCAAGAAAAACACAGCCCTGCCTTGGGTTTCCATTACAGAGCCCTCCGAGGGAAGGGGATGTTTTTTGGGTGTCCTTCTACCCCTTCTCATCTCTGTAAACAGCGAAGCACCACAAAGGGCACAGTGCAGGACAGAAAGCTGCAATTTGAACAACCTGCTGAACCTCAGCCCTGGGGTTTCACCCACGCTGGCTATTCCCAGCTCCCAGTGGGCACTTCAGAGACACCACTGCCTTTGTTGTGCCAGCTGTTTCCACAGCTGCTCGAGGGGAAGGCTCTGGGGCCAGGCTGGCCCACAGGGATGCAGCCAAGGATCATGGAATCACTGGATGGTTTGGGTTGGAAGGGACCTTAAAACTCATCCAGTCTCACCCCTGCTTCAAATTTCCACTATCCCAGGTGGCTCCAAGCCTCCAACCCAGCCTTGGGCACTTCCAGGGATGGGGCAGCCACAGCTGCTCTGCTGTGATGCCTGTGATAATCAAGACAGAAAGATGCCCTGGATTGTCTAAGTGGAAAAAAACCCCACACGAAACCAAAAATTTTGGGGTTACCAGGCAGAGTGTGGGGATCTGTGCCCCCTGTCTGGCTGGGATGCCACAACCAGGACCCCAATGGGTTTTTACCTTTTCCTTCCTCGTGAGCTGAACATCCCCTGTGCTCTGTGAAGGATCACATCCACACCAGGGTAAGTGTGAGCTCCAAGATCCCCACTTGGAGTCTGGCAGCCAGTAAACTCTTCTCACCAAGTGGAAGCTTTTGTGAACACCCTGCAGCAATGGGAATACTAAGGAAGGGGAAGGGAGGGATTGTTTTACTTGATATTAAATACTTGTACTTTATGTCCAAGATTTGACCTCAATAGAGAATCAAATATCAAGAGACATGGAAGTTCCAGTGGAAAAAGGACACGGTTGGGTAGTTTTGAGTACAACACCCACATGTCCTGTGGGGCTGTGCAGCTGTTGGAGAACTAACCATGGATCTCTCTGGGGAAAACATGGAACCTCTCTGGGGAAAACATAACTGTGGGGGAAAGCAGGGCAGCCTTGGGGTCTGCCAGTCCTGGATACAGGAATGGCTCTGTGCCAGCTCTGGGGATGTGGAAAGGCATGGAGGGGACAGGGTGGGACATGTCCTGTTTGGATGGCACAGGGATCCCTGTGCCCAGGCAGTGTGGGACAGGGACAGGCAGCAGATGGGTTGTCTGGCACTGAGCTTCCTGACCAGCATCATTTCCAGGGGTTTATGGCCTGCAGAGAGTGTCTGGGATGAGCACACAGCTCGGATCTGGAGTTCATCTTGGGATGCACAGAGTGGGATTTGTCACGGTCAAGATCTCCCCCTCCTGTCTGCCCCAGAGCGAGGATGAGAGAGGAGAAGGAAATCACTCCTCAGGCTCCTGCTCCATGGCCTGAGCACAGGGCAGGAAATCTCAGTGTGCAGCTCGGGGGGCTGTGCCTCAAGGTGGGGGCAAGTGGTGGCCTTGGCAGTGCTGGGGGAACGGTTGGACTCGATGATTTGAGAGGGATTTTCTAAACTAAGCAGCTCCTGGATTCTGTGGGTCTGCAGAAACAGGGTCCAGGCACAGGTGAGAGGTGGCAAGGCTGGTCTGCAGGTGGGACAGGCAGATTTACCAACCCTGGAAGGAAAGGTCCGAGATCCAGGCTGATCAACCCAGATCTAAATTAAGAGCCAGGAGCAAGGACAGACTTTGTGAGTCATGGATGAACTGTGTGTCCAGACTGCTGTGGGCAGTGGGCAAATCCTTGGGAGGATGGCTCAGGGCAGACACCACCACTCCCAAAAGGAGTCTGAAGGGGACAAAAAGGTTTTAGATGCCATGCCATGAGTCAGTGGTACCTGGGCACAGCAGCCAGCCTGGTTCCCACACCCCTTTCTGCCCTGTCCTCAGGGACAGCTGCCAGAATTTGGTGCTGTGGGCTTGGGAATCTGCCTGTGGGATCCCAGCTTGGTCCTTTCCCCAGCAGCCCTCTCAGTCTGGGGCTTTTCCTGGGAAAAGGAGGGAATTTGGGGGGCAGGGAGAGCCCAAACAGAAGGGGAAAGGAGCTCCTCAAAGGGGTTCTTCTGAGCTCACTTCTGAGTCGAGCCCCAGCAGAATGGGGTTTGTTACCTCATTAAAACAGAGGTCAGGCTTTAAGCTGGACCGTGGGTGCAGGTTAGTGATGCTGGCCTGGGGTTAACAGAACTTTATGTAGCACTGGCTGTGTATTTGCTGTTCTTGAAGGGAATTCCTAAATATTTACCCTGGCGCTGTGAGAGTGTCTCAGCCTTCCTCTGCCACCTTCACCAGATGGAAATGAAGCACTTTTGTCATTCGAGGTTTTAGAAAAAAGCAGGACCTGTGGCAGGTGCAGACTGTCTGTGCCTCCTCAGGGCTGGAGGCCAGAGCTGCCTCAAATCCAGGCACGAGGCACAAGTCCCCATCCCTCGGTGGGCAGTGCCACCTGCCCTGTTAAACACTGACAGATTTTGGGGAAATGTAAAACCTGCAAGTCACTGATTGCTGCTGCAGCTGCTCTGCATGGCCCTGCCCTCTGCTTTGGTCCTCCAACAGCTTTAAAGCAACAGATTCTGGTGTTGGAGACAAGGGAAGGAATAGGAGCTGAACACTGAGTCAAACTCAGGGGGAGAGGGAGGATTCCTGCATCCACAGCAGAGACCATGACAAAGCCATTTTGTCTCTCACTGAACTGGTTTTCAACAAATCCTTCTGCAAAGAGATTTTTATTGTGAGGTTTCTGTTTGAAAGACAGACCCAGCCCCCAGGATAATCCCCAATAGCTTTGCACTGACAGACAATGCACACAGGATTCCTAAAAATGCCCCAGCCGTGAGTCAGTGCCCACTGTGCCCAGGAGAGAGAGGTGCTGGTACCCAGGGGCAGCCTTTACCTCCCTGGAATATACCTTTTTTTCCAGGGAATATTTACTAAAAGGGTTTGTAAGATCCAGTGCAATTGCTAATGTGTTTTGAGGGCAATAAAGACGGGACAAAAAAATGGAGATGAAATAAGCAAGGAAGGCTGAAAGATAAATGGAGGATAAAGGAGAGAAGGAAGCTGGAAAAGAATTGGAATCACAAGGCTGGGGAGGAAAAAAAGTAAAGGCCAAGGAGTGCAAGAGAGAAAAAAGGTTGATCAGAAGTAAAAACAAGGTCAGAAAAAATAGAAGCTGCAGAGGGCCAAGAAAGGGTGAGAGGGGGAAAGAAACGCAGAGGCTGGAAAGGGCAGGAGGCCAAAATAAAGTGGGAGGCCAAAGGAAAAGCAGAGACAAAAAAAGTGAAGGGTGAAAAGGGGTGGGAGGCTGAGGAGGCACATGAGACTTAGGGGAAGGTCTGCCCGGAGAGGGGCCTAAAGCTGAATGGGTTCCTCGGGCAGGGGGGTGATAAGGCAGCACAATATCCAATTGTTCTCCCTGCACACCGGGGCCAGCCCAGCCTCCCCCGTGCCTGGCGTCTGCAGGGACACACTTTGGGTTTGGGCTGCACAGAGCTCGGCTCTGCTGAGCCAGACCCAGAGCTCTGCAAGCCCTTTGGATAAACTTTCCTTCCCAGCTCCACCCCAGCCCAGGGGATGAACTTTTCCTCCCGAGCTCCCTGACTTTGGCCTTCCTCCCATTGCTGAGACCTTGATCTTCCTCCCAGCTGAGGCAGCTCCTCACGCAGCTGGCTCTGGCTCCTTGCCCTTATTCCCAAAGCCCTGGGACCCCTGGCACAGTGGGGACAGGAACAGGAACAAGGACAGAGACACACACAGGGACACACAGGGATAGGGACCTGTCGTGCCAGGGGGGATAGAGGCAGGGACAGGGACCTGTTGCTGCCCTGTCAGGGGTGTCACCTTTGCTAAATGGCCCAAAAGAACCAAGAGGCTGCAGGTGGTGGCAAAGGAAGGGGCAGTGGGGACATGTGGCCCCGGGGCCATGCAGAGTCTCAGCCTGACACCTGCACCCCCAGCCAGGGAGATTCGAACCTGCAGAAATTTGTGTTTGGTATCCTTGGTTTGGCTGAGAGAGCAGCTCACAGCTCAGAGCACGCTGGTGATGAGGAGTTTTGGCTGTCAGGCCCATCAGGAAAATCCCTGTGCTGTTATTTTCAGTCATAAATCACAGAATCATCACAGAATGCTTTGGGTTGGAAGGGATCTTAAAGCTCATCCAGTCCCACCCTTGCCATGGGACACCTTCCACTAGCCCAGGTTGCTTCATCCCCTGCCCAGCCTGGCCTTGGACACTTGCAGGGATGGGGCATCCCTAACCATACTTAATTGCCCAGAGAAGCTGTGGCTTTCCCAAACCATTCTATGATTCTGTGACTTACTTATTTTACATCAAAAATGAACTGTGCATAGTGCTGTGTCACTGCAACAATTTTCCTTTCTGTTTGTTGTTCTGTCTGGGGTTTTTTTTTAGTTTGTTTGGTTTGGGGTTTTTAATGGTTCGAATATTGTGTTTTGCCATTTAAAATGTTTGGGGTTTCGTATATTTCAATTCAATTTCTGATCTGGGCTTCTGCTCCTACCCAGAGCTTCAGGTGAATTTGCAATCATTTGGAGATTGTCATTTTGGAATGATGCTCCCACCACTGAGCCACTCCTCCCTCTCAGGATTTAGGGGGCACCTGCAGGGTTTTTTGGGGGGGTCTGTCCCAGCTGGGGGGGAGCAGCACCCTGCCACCCTAAAGCTGTGCCAGGGGAAGGGATCTGCTGCCTCAGCACATCCCAGCCCGACCCTGCCCTTCGGGACCTCCCTGAGCCCCCTCGCTCTGATCTCCCGTGGGGCTCAGCAGAGGCTGCAGAACAGAATCCGGGAATTCCCTGGGAATCCGCCGAGCATCCCGAGGGGATCCCGGAGCCTGGGGTGGGAATCCGTGCCGCGGGCTGTGTATGAGCATCCCGCGAGTGTCCGTGGGGCTGAGCCCCCGTCCCGCCGCCCCCCGCCCCGCACCTACCGGCGGCTGCGCGGCGCTCCCGGCTGCGGCTCCCGAGTGCGCCGGGAGGGAGAACCGCGATGGAGCGGAGAGAACGGGGCTGAGGAGGATGAGGAGGAGCTGCCTCGGGGCGGGGGAGAAGCGGGAGGCTGAGCGCATCCACCCAGAGCGGGGCCGGGCACCTGCCCGCACAGTGGGCGGGGGCTGGGGCTGAGCCCCCCGGGCAGCAGGAGCCGACAAAACCCCGCAGAGAGCCGGGAAAGCACCGGCCTTTCCTGTGCCTCGCGTTTCCCTTCCCTGCGGCGCTGGGGACACTCAGGGAAGGCGATGACCTCCCTCATCCCGGTCGTCCCCGAGTGCCCCGGGCAGTGGGGACGGGATCCTGTCCTCCCCATGGGGGTCCTGCCCTCCCTATGGGTGTCCCTGCTCTCCCTATGGTTTTCCCTGCCCTCACTATGGGTGTCCCTGTCCTCCCCATGGGATCCTTGCCCTCCCTATGGGTGTCCCTGCTCTCCCCATGGGTGTCCCTGCCCTCCCTTTGTGGGTCCCTGTCCTCCTTATGGGGGTCCCTGCCCTTCCCATGGTTTTCCCTGGTCTCCCCATGGGTGTCCCTGTGCTCCTTATGGGGGTCCCTGCTCTGCCCAGGGGCAGCTGCCGAGAGGGGCCCGGGGCATCCACGGGGCTATGCCGGGCACGGCTGCGCTCCCGCTGGCACCGGGAGAGCTTGGCCTTAAAAGCCGAAGCGCTCCGGGAGCGCTGTCAGGAGGATAAAATGCAGCTCCGTGTCCCCAGGGATGGGCACTGGAGCCTGGCGGGGCTGCTGGCCCTGCCCTAGGGGCTGTGCTGGGACACTGGCCTGGCTGGGGACACTGGTGGGCTGGGGGTACCGGGGTGGGCTCGGGGGATGCTCGGAGCTCACGGGGTACCGGGGTGGGTGCAGGTTGGGGTGCGGCTGTTCGGGGTGCGAGGCCGCTGTCGCTGTCGCTGTCGCTGCCGCAGCACTAATGAAGCACTAATGAAGCACTAATTAAGCACTGACGAAGCCGGGGCGGTGATTTCAGCGCTTGGCCGGGCTCCACGAGCCCTTTGATGTGGTGATGTTTAGGCTGCGTTATCTAAAGCTCGCTCGGAATAGGCTTTTAGCGGCGGCTCACGTGGGGCAGCGTGTTTGGACAGGCATTCCGGGCTGGAAATGCCCGAGCCAGACGTTTGGATAAAACATTCCCGAGGTGACTGCGGTTCCCAGCGCCTGCTGGGGACAGCTCCAAACGCTCCCCACAGCGCAGGTGGATTCGGAGCTTGCCGGACATGTCAATATACATTTTTCCCTCCCTTTATTTTTAAGAATTCCGCCCAAGATTTCCTCTTGCTTTTTCAGAAAATAAAAAATAGGTATAGCCAAACATTCCTGAATAGAGTAGAAGAGCAGGCCTGGCTTTGCCTCAGTCTCTCCTGGACGAGAGGCATGGGGGTTGTGAGGAAGATTAGGAAATATTGCTCCATTTTCCCACTCAAGGGAGCCCCCCCTTGTTTGGGAGCTGCCCCTCCCCGGGCCCAGCCCTCCTGCCCGGCTGCCCTCGCCCCCTGGCTGTGGTTGGCACTCAGCAGCCCCGGTGCCGTTCTTTGCAGACGATTTCCTG